ACAATAACTTCACGTGTTGTGGTACAGCCAACAACAGTAAACAACAACATGGCGACTAGCGGCGGGTAGTTTGCCGGTGTTGTAATAAAGTGTTGTTTTCACCGCGAAGAAATTGCTAATGAAACTCCAATTCTAGTTACAGCAACCAGATTCTTGAAGATTATTACTTGTAACAAATTATGGATAATTTTAGACAGTCATAACCGAACTATAGCTGACAAACTTGTGTCTTAACTAGCCTAGGATGTGCCTCCTCTTGTGTCTTGGTTGGAATGGATAAGGGAAAGACATACGATTACGAGGATGTGATAAGACTTTCACCCTGTTTGCTATCGTCGTTACATCGACACGAAATCGATAGCAATGATAAGTTATCATTACCAAGTGTAGTGTAGTCCCGTCAGTACCTTACCCAGACACATTGTACAGTATTAAAAATATTCTTTAAAAAATGGTGCTGACTGTGCAGGCCCTACCTCACTTAGGTTCGTGAGTGGATTTCCCGTACGATTGGAAATCGTAACGGTACTGGGTTTGGTCTACAGGAGTTCGTGCTTCGAACAGGTTATTGCATAAGGGTCACACGGCTGTCTCTTATACACACTTTTTAGCAAAAGTTTGCCTAGGTCGAAACTAACTCCGGCTATATAAAATTGATTATAAGATTGAAAAATATTAATTTTGTTATTGTAGTAGTGATGGATACTATGTACACGTTTAATTATTGTTATCTATTCGTTAATGTCATTATATTTACATTTAAATTTAATATATTGTTTAAGTATGAATTATTATGTTCATGTAAAAATTAATCTTATAAATTAAAATTGTATATTTTAAATAATATAGTAGGCATAGTTTAATGGAGATCATCAAATGCGGTTGTAAGACCAGGTGCAATCAAGGCAGATGTCAGTGCAATAAAATGAACATGAAATGCTCTGATCTTTGTCAATGTACAAACTGTCAGAACAGAGATGATAAAGATACCATGAATGAAGATGCTCAATTTGCAGACGATGAATACCTAGACGAAATTTACATAGATGATTTGTTTGATTGAGATTTGATGTGTTTCTTATTTCATCATTATTATGTATAATATAGAAAATTTAAAAAGGTAACGTAACCATGTGACCCTTGAAAATGTAAGAACTTCAGAACCATGAGACTTAGCACACAGTGACACAGGAGTACGTAAAGCATTATCTATTTTTATTTATTTTGTACAGGTATAATATAGAAAATTTTTTTAAAT